ATGGGAAAAAAAAAAGAGACGATAAGTCTAATTAGACTAAATTTTTTTTGATTAAATTTTTAAAAAATACTGTATATTTTTTGCTAAGCAAATTGTGTTAGCAGTTATATATTACTGCAAAAACACAAATATAAGCATAAATTATATTATAGAAATACTCAATCTGTCAAGTTGCTTTCTTTATTTACTAATTACGGCATCTCTGTTGTACTTTGTGCTGACAATGTTTACGATAATTGGTTTTGTCAAAAACACCCGTAACTGTTGATACAGTTAATCAATGATAGCCGTTGTGCTTCTGAACTTCAAATTCGTGGATGTATAAGCAACAAGATACTACAGATAATCCAGATGGCATTATGTAAATTTGGTAGCCTAACACCGTTACAGTATTCGCCTTCATTACAGAAGAATGTTTGACCTAAAAATAATATGCTTTTTGAAAAAAATTTATAGTTTCAATTGAAAACTTCAATTATTCATTCAATAAACAAATTTAAATTAACAATTCATTAAAGTAGCTTAAAATAAAAATGCTGCACTTTTTTGTTTTTAAATTTATAATTTCCACAAAACTTCAATAGATAAGTGCTAAGCACATAAAAAAAAAGAGCAGAATTAACAATTAAAAAAGATAAAAAACTAAATTTTTAGGTCATAGTGAATATTTTGCTGTTTATTAGTTAATAATCTGTTATCGTATTTCATAGCCGATAAAAAAATTTGTTCATAAAAACATTAACAAAAGATTACCTTTAACAGGTTCGTCGTTTCTTACCCTAACGTCATAAGAACGAATCTTCATGCTACCGTCTTCTTCTTTATCTGGTGTACAACCTTTGAGGATTACCTGATGCTCTGTAAATAAAATAAAATAACTGAAAACAATTTTCTGCTTCAATCAACTCATTTACTTTTTTTTTTTTTTTTGCTTCATATTTTCAAAAAACGTCATGCTTCTGTTGTTGATATTTTAATTAAGATCAGAATAGAAATCCCTCTGTAACGCTAAAATTACAACTCATTTTTCGCCTTTGAGCTCTTCACCAGTAATCTTCGCTCCAAATGCAGTCAATAATCAGAAGTATTGGAAAAAAAAATCAAAAATTTGAGTGCTGATTTATGGTAACTATCAAAAAGTCGGTTTATGCTAACCGATATCGACAAGTTTGTAACAGGCTCCAGAACAGCATACTGTTTCTTCTGATCGACAATCCGTCAACGATTCACCCAAACATACGTAACAGGCAAACTTATTTTTTGCTGTACAATTTGGCTGTGATATAACCGCAAATGTTAGCCCTAAAGTAGTGGAATATTGTACTGCTTATAACCATCGTCAAAGAAAACTATGATCTCAGATATCACCACAAATGTTTCAATAAAGTGTTGCAAATGAGACAGGAAAATTTAAACATCTTCAAAAAAATTTGTTTTCGACTCAGCAACCAATTTGAAAAAAAAAAATTTTTCTTTATCTATACAAAAAAAATTGTAAAGTCGTATTGTTTTACATTCATTTACGTTTAATGCTTATAAATTTGCTTTAAGTTGACGAAAAAAAGTTGTAGGCTTAAAAAAACTCTAAAAAATAAATTTGTTGCTATTGCACAAATTGGCCAGAAAGACAAGTGAAAGTGTTTTGAATAAGAAGAGGAAAAAATTGCAAAAAGGCTAGAAAAAAGAAAGGAGAAGAGGAAGAAGAAGAAGGAGAAGAAAGTCCGATAAAAAGTTAGAAAATAAATCAGTGCTAATTTAACTTCAACTTTTTTTTTCCTATTCAATCAAATTTCAAGCCAAAAGTTCATTGCTTTCTTCCTTCTTTTTCTGCCTATCGCTTTTTCTCCATCTCCCTTGTCACCCGTTTTTTTAACATCTTTGTTTTTGTTTGCTTAAAACAGCCACAAAT